TCGTTTCCATAATTTCAAAGTGTGTCAATCTTTACAATGGATCAGACATCACCTTTTATGCAGTTGGTGATTCAAACAAGTATTAGTAAAATAATAAGGAAATCAGCTTTTGAAAAGGAAAGTTTGGCATTATTGCGTGCAGCGGGTATATATGTGATCATCCAGAAACAACTTATCTACATCTGTAGGTAAATTCAAGACATTTGAAACGCAACTTGCCCAATCAATCAAAGCCTTCAACGTTTTGACTTTTGTTTGGCATATACAGTATTTCCACCTCTTTTGGATACCTCTACGTGGCGAGGAGGAGTAAGATATGTCCTTTATGGGGGTGCGCTGTTGTGCGCCTGTATGACGGACATATGGCCAACACCCTGACTGCCTAATTGTTGTGGGCAGCGTCCCGTAACCTAGAAAAGAGGGTCCTGGTAGTTGAAGGATACCCAGGGATCTCCAGTACTCCTAACACACTGCTTTGGCCTCTGATTTAGGGTAGACGGGTGACCAAATGAGCCCGGCTTTTTGGTCAATCGGCTGTTCATGCCTTGTCCTTGATATATTTTTCTAAAATACTTGAAGTTTTAATTGAACTTACACGGTCCCGAAATGAAATCAATTCAATGCACATTAATTATTATAAAAAAGTTTAAATTTTGATTCCCACTTGTGATTCTAGTATACCTTTAATTCCTACTAAAACTGTAATTATGGGTGTCGTTATGTTAAAACAATATTTCATATATGCATTATAAAAACAGTATAACATATCAAAGAAGGCGGTCGCTAATGGGCTAATTGTGTAAATTTTAAATATTTGCAATCTATATATAATCTGTATATCTCACTGGTATCCTTGTTGTGCGGGGACTGGATATCCGTCTCTATAGCACATCCCCATGTTGGAGTCCGAGGTAGCTGGGGAACCCGGGAGACGAATTTTCATATTTTTATCATGTATACACAATAAAAAAACGAAAATCGCAAAAAGATTCAATTTGTAACATTTCAGTTGATGGAAGTTTTCTCCCGTTTTCTGATAAACAAACCAAACAGCTCCAAATCACTCACTGAACTTAGCACCTTCATTATAGAAAAACAACTTTCCGCTTTAAATGGTACGCCTAAATCTGTGAAGAAATTCCGCAATGACAGACTCTTGGGAAACAACAAGCAGACATTATTCTGAAATTGTTAATAGTTCGTTCTAGACGCTATGAAGACCGAACTTATGCGGATCCCAATCAACACAGAAAATCGGTTCAACGACACCGAATTGATGGAGGATGAGGATGGAGACTATGTTATCTCCTAAAGATAATATCTCTATAAAAGATTAAACACTTTATAACCTTATATGCACAAGTAATGCAAGCACATCAGATGGTACGAGCATTGCTATCGCAAATTGCGTTCCTCAAAATGAACTAAAACTTAGCACAAGATAACAAGCTATAGATGTGCAGGTGACCTTATATCGACCTCTAACAATTTGTTTTCTATACCTTCCTCCAAATATAACGGTAACAAGTGATGAACTTGAAAGTATTGTTCGACAATTACCATCACCTTCCCTTTACTTAGGCGACTTAAATGCTCATAATCCTATGTGACGCAGTATATCTACAAACTGAAAAATTGATAGATAACTTTCAGCTTTCTATATTAAACTATGGATCACCTACATATTTACATCCAGTTACAGGTACGTTTTCTTGCATTGACCTCTCAATTGTCCACTCTGCTTTATGCTTGGACTTCGATTGGAAACTTTTAGATGACCAGTACGGCAGTCATCATTATCCATGGTTACTAACATCAAATGACTCTATACCAAATGAAAGACGTCAAATTTTTAAATTTAAGAAAGCAGATTGGGAAACATTTACTAGGCTCTGTTCTATTGATCTAACAAAAATGAGTTACATTTTACTTCTGCTGATATAGCTGAAACGTTCTCTTCAGCATTACATACGATTGCCTGCAAAGTTATTCCATTAACAAAGGTAATAAAAGTAACAAAATAAAAAAACAATGGCTTAGAGATGAATGTAAAAAGGCCGTTCGTATACGTGAAGCTTCACTTAAAAAGTTTGTACATCGCCCTACAACAGAAAACCTTGAAAATTATAGAATATTTAGTGCCAAAACTAGAAGATTTATTCGTCAATCTAAACGCCAATCATGGCAATCATATGTTTCAAATATTTATTCAAATATTCCTATAAGGAAAGTCTGGGATGCAGAACGAAAAATAAGTGGTAAGTGTAAAAAGTGTCCGACTGTTCACTTCAAAATTGATGATAAATATGCCAAAACAAAAACGGATATTGCAGAAACTTTACCTTTTCTCTATTGATGACTTAATTTATTCAATCAAAACTGCAAAAAACAGTGCTGCAGGCCCGGACGAAATTTACTTCCATTATCTTAAACATTTACTATCCCAATATCTTGACTTTTTTCTCGAAATTGATAACAAAATTTGGGTATCTTGTAAATTTCCCAACACTTGGAAAAATGAGTTGGTTATTCCTTTCCCTAAACCTGGAAAGGATTCAACTGACGCTACAAACTATCGTTCAATTTTACTAACAAGTTGTCTCTGCAAAACATTCGAGAGAAGGATAAATTATCGGTTAGTTTGGTATCTAGAAAATAATGGAATTATCACTAATTTTCAGTCAGGCTTTCGTTAACAGCGAAGTACAAACGATCATCTTGTACGACTTGAAACTCTTATTAGAGGAGCGTTTGTAAATAAGCAACACCTGATATCAATTGTCTTTCACCTTGAGAAGCCTAACGATACTACTTGGAAATATGGTATCCTAAAAGATCTAAAGGATGCTGGACTTAAAGGCAGACTCCTCTTTACATTTCTGGATTTCTAAATGATAGGCACTTTAAAGTAAGACTTGGTTCAATTTTTTCTGAGGACCACCAACAAGAACAAGGTGTTCCTCAAGAAAGCACACTTTCTGTTACACATTTGCCCTTAAAATAAACAAAATTGCTAGGGCTCTTGCACCAGGCATAGATTGTTCTCTATATGTAGACAATTTTCTTATCTGTTAGCGATCGAAAAGTATGAGAACAATTGAAAGGCAACTTAAACATAGTTAAGATAAAATTCAAAAGTGGGTAGTAGAAAATGGTTTTAAATTTTCAAAGTCAAAAGCTCAATGTGTTCATTTTTATCGATTGCGGAAACACCATAATGACCCTGAACTTTACATATCTGGTTCTAAAATTACAGTAGTTGATGAAGCTAAGTTTTAAGGTATTATATATGATAAAAAACTTTCTTTTAAACCACATATTAAACATTTGAAAAGTAAATGCCTGACAGCTTTAAATTTACTAAAGGTTTTATCAAGTATAAAATGGGGATCAAGTTCTTCCACATTACTGAAATAATACACAAGTCTTATCCGATCAAAATTAGATTATGGTTCTGTAGTGTATGGGTCTGCTAGAAAATTATATCTTCACATGCTAGATATCATACAACACCAGAGTTTACGTTTAGCTTTAGGTGTTTTTCGCACCTCACCTGTAGAAAGTCTATTTGCGGAAATGTGGAACCATCGCTTTATCTTCGTCGAAAAAAGCTGTCAGTTCAATATGCAACTAGAATTTCATCTAATAGCAAAAATCCAGCTAAAAATATTATTTTCAAACCAAGTTATACTACCAAACCAAAAGAAATCAAACCATTAGGCCTTTGTTTAAAAGATGATTTAGATAAACTTAAAATTAATCCAGACAATATCCTTCAAAATGACGATGAGGATATTCCACCTTGGACTTATAAATTCACAGAAAATAAATATTAACCTTTCAAATATAAAAAGTCATCAAATTCACTTGAACATTTCAAAGAGAAGTTTCTAGCAATTAGGGAAGAACATAAAGATTGTATACATATTTATACGGACGGTTCAAAAGAAGGTTGCAAAGAAGGAGCGGCTGTGTTTGAAAATAATGTTGCATCTAGTATTAGGTTACTAGATAATGCATCAATTTTTACTGCTGAAGCAAAAGCTATAGATTTGACATTGTCATACATAGTACTGCATACCCATGAGAAATTTGTGATATTTTCTGACTCACTTTCTGTTTTAATATCCATTAAAAATTAAAAAAGGACAATATCATGATAAGGAAACTTCTTTTACGATTTCATGATATACTTAAAACAAAATATGTTAAATTATATTGGATTCCAAGTCATGTAGATATACGAGGAAATGAAAAAGTAGATGCTTTAGATAAACAATCATTAAATTTTCAAAAAACTGACTTATTGTTACCTGCTTGTGATTTTAGACCGGCTATAAATAAACTCGTATCATCTGAATGGAAAGTGAATTGGGACAATGCCGTTTTTAATAAACTTCACGATATAAACCCATCTCTTGATGTGTCACAATCTCTATCTCTGTCAAACCGCCATGATCAAACAGTTCTTCTTCGATGCCGAATTGGACACACTAAAATTACCCACTCTTATCTCCCCACGAATGACAAATTTTACTGTCAAGTATCTTCTTCTTGAATGTCATGATTTTTCAAAGGATCGTAATAGATTTTATAGTGTAAATTCACTCAAAGAACATTTAATACAATTCCATCAAAAAACATCTTTGATTATTTGAAAGAGATAACCTGTATTCTAGGGTGAAATTGGCTCATTTTTAATGTCATTTACAAAGTTTAATATAACATTTTAAGCGTATTATAGCATTCGACACGACATGGCCAGTTATGTGTTGACGTGCCGTAAAATTCCAAACAAAACAAATAATATACAGTATTTCTTTATTTTGTTAAATGCAGCAGAGTAAAATAAACCTAAAACATTTCAAATAGTTTATAAATGTAAAAGCAACACAAGGCAACACTAAATGTGCAAAATATATTCAAGTATGAAATCAAAACAAACATGTTATAAAGTAATTATGTGCCATGAATTGTTCAAAAGAGTTATGTATATTGAAAGTTTACAATAAAATCAAAGTCAATTATTTTGGACAACAAACCGCAAAAAAAATATGTCACATTTATGCATGTTCCTGGTAAGTGTGAAATACATGACCTTATAATACATATGTTATATAGAAGTAAATAAATTGTTCTAGAACAACTATAATAATGTCAAAATTCATACTTAATTACTTAGAACTCTATCAACAATTATATTTCAAGGAATATTTTTAAGAATATTCAAATTATATATTCCTATTTCTTTTCACAAACACAACACACATTGACGGGAATTACAAAAGTATTTACTTATTTTAAGCAAGATCCATGAATGATTTCAACCGGTTATTTATACCGTAGTTAAAAAATAAATATGTAAAGTAATCTACTACCATATAAAGTTTAAAAATGAGTTTCAAATATATATAAGTTACTCCTGTCACAACTTATGTTTAGTCACTATCGCTATGTTGGTTGATAGCTTCAATCCTGTCATTTGTATACTGTGTAATTTGTCTCAAGGCGAGGAGAAGTGGTATGTTCCTTTTCCAACTGATTTCTATAGCATCTTCATAATTCGTAACTGGATGAATGGATGCTTCGGGAATGTTAAAAATTTCGCTTGCCGTTTTAACAGCCTCTCTAACCCTAAAGCTTCGGAACATGTTTGCAGTGTCTTTATAAACCTCCGGGCAAAGAACGTCAGCTTTTGTCAAGATCAAAACACGTGGTACACCTATGTCGTACATGAAAAATCTTAACAGAAAGCACTTAAATAAAAGCATATGCTAATATCTTAATATTTTAGATGTTTTTTCTTTATATCAGCGTTGTAAATAGACACACCGGTTTGGGTTATGATGAGAAGGGTTTTGAATGTTTGTTAAGACTGAAAAAGAATTTACTAAGCAATATGACTGTGTGATTATTAATGTTATGTTAGATTTAAAAATGCGTAAGCCATTAATATTTAATCAAATCAAACTTAAATAGAAAGTTTATAAATGAAATAAGGTTTTAAGATGAGTTTTTCTCGAAACTAAATCCATGGAAGAGCAACCCTATAGGAAATACCCAAAGACACTTTTTTACGAAAGAAACCCGCAAGTAATCTAGAGTTATCTAAAAAAACTTTAAAAACAATAACAAATATCATACCATTTTATCATTTGCGTTATATAAAAAAAAAAATATGTAAACATATATAAAAATAATAATTTTTGATTTAAATTAAAAATCACTTATCACTCATTTTACTTTAATAACTGAGAGTGACGGATAATTTTAATGTGTTTTTTAATAGTTTTTGTGCACATTAGTATTCGGGATCGTGAACGTTATTGCTGGTTTCGTTATTTTGGACAAATTTATATTACAATAATGATATTTTTAGAAGCAATGTAAAAAGTTTTGCTGGAGAAAACATGGTTGTACAGAACATTTATTATCTGGAAAAAAACGAGAAAGTAAAAGAACTGAAAATCTAAGAAATTTAAATAGAAAAGTTGTTTCCGGAACATCTTAAGATTAATTGAAAACAAGATACGTAAAACATTTCAAAAAGATGCTTTATATTAATTTACTTTTTTAGAATGGGCACTGAGATTCCAAATTTACAGTTTGTAGTTTTTAAAAAGCATGGAAAATTCTACTAATATTCATGTCTTCCTCGTAAATAAAAGGGAAGTTAAACTGATTTTAGATGGTCTTTGACCGAAAAAATAAGAAAGGAAGTATCAATAAATTGTTTTATTGTTGTTGTCTTTGTTGGTCCTTCTAATGGAAAGGAGAGCATGTATTAATTGAGCAGACGCATGTATATGTAGTCAGTAAATGGTGTTCATTGCTATTCTTTCTTCTTTGCGTATAGTGACAAAATCACGAGTTATGTTTGAATATTGTATGAAAAGACCATATTTACACTGATGTCCTTATTTAAATGACTTTATGCAAAAAAGTAATGATTAAGTTCAACTTCAATATCACCGTATTGTGATTGATCTTACTAATGGTAATGTCACTTATAAAAAAATATAAGTCAATATCAGTAAGCCCAGAGTACATCGATGGAAAGTACATCTTTTCGGAAGATACATTTCGTCATTACTTACGTAATTGCTTCACCGCCTCTTGTATTTGTCTAATTTTCCTGACAAAGGCCTGAGGAATGCCAGAGTGCATGGCATTTGCATCAACTACAAAAACAACACAATGAGCCTGATTCTCGAACTTCGGTCCAACACGCCAGTGGTCTTTGTTTTCCGGTGAAATTGGACTTCTTGGGTTAAACTGATATTTGGAAATAATATAGCAATTTTACAATATTGTTAATTACAATCAATAATAAAATCATGGTAAGAATAATAAAAAGAAAATGTTAACAGTCTATGCCGAACATGATTATTGTACTCATCCGTATAAAATTGTTTCTTTCTTTTGCCAAACGCATTAGTCCATTATTTGTCTCTAACTTTTAGCCGAAAAAATAAAAGAACATTTATGATAAGGGAAATTAATATCATACTTTAATTCATAAAATACCGTATAGCCATCCTTAATATGCCCTTTAAGAAGAGAAACCATGTCAGCAACATTAAATCCTTCCTCAGCACTTTGTTCTAACCCCATACAGTCCCTTAGGCGAAAGTTTTTGAGTAAGGAAGTATCTGAATGTTTTTCATACTGAAATGAGCAATACAAAACAAAAAGAAAAAGAAGTTTTATTTAAACTATGCACTTTTATGCACGGATTTAATATTTTAATTAGCATTGTCACCAGAAATTGTATTCATCAAGAAATAACAACTGCAATGATTTTATTCTCTTTAAAATATTTTACTGTAAACTAGTCTGTTGTAGCACCACACAATTAAAAACTAAGGTTCTTAACTGCTTAAAGGCGGGAGATTTAATGTTAATCAGATGTGATTCATATTAAGTGAATTAATCTTAGTTTGATAAAATTTGACGGTTTCATGAGATCCAATCTTAGTGTTCGAAGACTGTTTTACTCGGAATTAGAATAGCTTTTGTTATTTAAATTCAAGTCATAACTGTATGTTGGGTTTAAATTGGAAGTAGAAAACCATCAAAAACTGTAAATAAATCCATATTTATGCTTTGTCATCTGAGACATGTTAAAAAATCAATATCTACAGGATTTATATATCGGGCACGATGGAGACGGACGGATTCTGACATATAAAAGACATATTATTCTCAAATTTGAAATTTTAAAAACAAAACAACAGACAGTAACAACAACAACAACAACAATAACAAAATGATGATAATAACTACACAGTCACTTTTGAAATGTAAAATAATCATTTTTCGAAAACACACAGAGAAGATATGTTATGTTTTAAACTCTACACAGTGCAGGCAATCACAGTATGTTCACATTATGTCTTTTAAAAAATAGACCAAATTAATTTGACATGTAAAATGGAGTGTAGCTTCCTAATCAGGAAGAATTTACTAGAATTCAATAGATTTCAGCAATAAAAGTATTTTACCCAAATATGAGCATAGTATAGCTATAAAATTCAAATGCATTATTTTTGAGCCGGTAAAATCTTTCGAGGAGTATAGGATTCATTGAGCGGACATGTTGGAAAAGGGGGGCAAAGCGGCACACCCCTAGACGGCGACACATTTATCTCTTTAGGGTACAAATGTTGCTGCAATGCAGCAATTGAGAAGCTCGGCGCAAAGAAAATGCGCTCATTGCAGACATGCCTTACCAAATCATTCCTGAGCACAGGTCATTTTCTTTTTAGATTAAGTACTAGTGTACATTATCAAAAGGTATATAAGAAAGAAATGCAGCAAGTGACGATGACCCAGTAGACATCTGATGACCAGATATTCTTATAAACTTTTTAATGGTTAATTGTATTTTACCAGAAATGCACATGTATATCATAAATGAATTGGCGGACGAAGGATATTTTTCATCATAAACGTTTGTAGGCTTGCTAGAGATAACAATATTAAATGAGCCGTGTCATGACAAAACCAACATAATGGACCAGCATGGATCAAGACCAGCCTGCGTATCCACGCAGTCTGATCAGGATCCATGCTGTTCGACTTGTAATAGAGTAAGAAAGCGAACAGCATGGATCCTGATAAGACTGTGCGGATGCGCATGCTGGTCTGGATCTATGCTGGTCGCAAACCCATTATGTTGGTTTTGTCGTGACGCGGCTCAAATGTATTTTCTTTGGAACATACAAAACAGTAGTCAAAATGAACAAAGTCTATTTTTTCCATTATTTTAACAACATATTACAAACAGAATATAAACATAGCAACAAAAGTGACTAATATAGTAATATTACATGCTTTTTTTCATGTCAAATTAAGAAAAATGTTTCTTTTAATACCTGGGAGTTAAGATACAGTAGCTATATTCTAAGTCACAGATAAATATTGGAAGTAGAGCGAACACAGGAATGAAAAATTTGTGACGAATTTCAAAAAGATCAAATTCAGGATTTTTTGTTATATGCGTTGAATATGTTTGCATTTCATTTCCTGCAAACTCTCCAGTTCGTTATTTATTACCATAGCGCGAAACAAATGACCGTAAATAGATTTTCGGACTTTCACAATGTGAAGGTCATATCTTCTGACTGTATAGCTTTCGAAATCTTGACAACAATAGATTTATAAATAATTCAGAGTGTACTACAAAATAATGAGTCATTTCCTGTAGAAGATACAAATGTAAGAAATAAATTACCAAATGTAAGTGTCTTTTATTATACTGCTTTTATACGTGGAAATTGTCCCCGTTCTCATACATAAATATGACATACGGCGAATTACCGACTTGGAAACCAATATATGACTTTACATAACAGGAATCGGAAGGAATTCTTGCCTCCAAATTTATTTTTAGCTGTAAATCGAAGGGATAAATTGATAAAAATCGGGTCCATGGACAAAGAAAAATATTCCACAGAAATGGCACTAATAGGCATGACGATTTTGATAGCATCAATCATATATATGTTAAAAGAGACGAGTGAACAATTCAGAGACCATTTATAAGAACGAATTACGCCGCACAACTATTTATTAACTATAATGCTCTGCTGTAACGAAGTCAAGTAAGTCAAAGTCCGGATATGTCGAAATTTACGAGACTTGCCTTGAATCTTCGAGACATCCGAATTTATACTCATGTGTCGGACTCAATTTTCTGAGAACAAAAATCGAACCATCGACGTTAACAAGTACACGGTTGACTGACTTTATGTGGTTTAAATCATTTGCGTTTTTTTGTAAAATATAAAAAATTTGTCGCTGTAAACTTGAGTTGAAATAGTAATACACTTGACCATTGTAATGATCATCGACCAATCAATGATGATGCAAAATTGAAACTACCTTAATTATAAAAAAGACTGCCCTACTTTTTTTGAGAATTGAGCGTTACCGATACATTATCATGAACTGGCTCAATCAGACCGATCCTGAAACATTTCAATTTTTGTTCTTTTGGGCGTTCTTAAGATATTCTGTTTTTCTCTATTTCACCGTTCAATATGATTGTCCTCATATGGCAGTTTAACAATCAGAAAGCAGAAAATGTTCTTACCGATGCATATTTCGATGAATCATACGCCGTCAGTCATGAAATGACACTTTCATATCACAATGATAACCGCCGTGTGAACACATCTGTAGATTTCAAAATTCAAATTGATTCCATTTCGTGTTCAATGTTGAATTCTGTTTAAGCCAGTGACGGTAGTTTATATTTTCCAGTACAGTTCATGAACAGGCACAATCAAACCGATCGGATTCTATTTCGCTATTTTTATCAAATAATGATAATACTTAGAGTGTTCTTTAAGGATTCTATTTCGCTATTTTTATCAAATAATGATAATACTTCGAGCGTTCTTTAAGTATTCTATTTCGCTATTTTTATCAAATAATGATAATACTTAGAGCGTTCTTTAAGGATTCTATTTCGCTATTTTTATCAAATAATGATAATACTTAGAGCGTTCTTTAAGGATTCTATTTCGCTATTTTTTATCAAATAATGATAATACTTTAATACAGCAACACCTACGCAATACAGGATTTAAAACAATTTGCTTATAATTGTTTGTATACGATACTGTATCAACATAGGAAGTAATTCATTTGATTCATACTGTTGAAAACATATACTTTACTTTTTTTTGTGAATGCTCGCTATTACGACATTTTTGTATGTATAAGTTATCTGCCCCATAAATGACCTGAACTAAATAAAATTTCATGTTCAAGGACAATGTACTCAAAAATGAGGCGATAATGAGAAGTCCGTTTCATTATATTGATTTAAATGAAAAGCTTACTTACAGTGGTTGTACAGCTTTTGTTCCCACTCTCAGTTACAGCAATATCAACCTTGTGTCCTTTAGAAACAGATAGTACTGCATTAACAAATGAAGACTTTCCTGCTCCCACTGGTCCAACTAAGAGGAAAGTAGGTTTCCAGGTTACTTCCGGTTTTATTTGTTTAATTTCTTTACGAAGTGACAATTCACTCTGATAAAGAAATAAAATAAATCGACATCCTTTTGGTTATAAAATTTCAATTGACAATACAGTAAAATATGTAAAATTCTCTAAATCATTAAAGTAAAGCTTCTAACATTTTCAATGCATGAACACAAAGCTAATTACAACAGTAGAAATATCGTTGCTTTTAGGTAACTGAAGCATCAAGAGTTAATAATATGCAATACTTTTAGTGGAACATAGCAGACTCTGTATATACGAGGGTCATTAAAAAAAACCCGAGTGTTGGTTAATATCTCTTAAACGGATAGACATATCTAGATGAAATTTGATACACACGTACATAACGTTTACCGTGTTGACACATGTATACACTAATGTGATGACAAACGTTATTTATTTTTTGTTTTGGGAACAAGCATAGCTGTCGGCACATTCGTGTTGACGCTAGACAATTTTTAATGTTTTAAGAAAAAATGCGTTTTAGATTTTGAATGCTACACAAGAATTTGACCTGCAGTAAAAAATTCTGGAAACAATTGATCCCTCAGAAGCATTAATCACAACAAAATTACATAATAATTGCAGACTTGGTTTGATTGAGTCTGAACATGAGAGATAATGAATAAGTGCAACATCCCTCACGCTCCCTAGCACGGGCTTGAGCGGTACTCAATTCTCAACATTTTATAGTGTTGGCATCAATGATTCAGAACGATCAGAAAAATACAACAACACTGAAGTGAAATACGGGACAACTTTTTACAGCTGCCACTATGCCAAGAAGGGACAAAAAGTGGATGGAGGTTGTGTGGAACATCATCACCTCGCGTTGCCTTGTAACAGTCATTTGTTTTGTTTCCACAGAAATGGAAATATTGCATAAGATCTGTATGAGATTGAATTGGTGTAATGAAATTTCAAAATCTAAGTGAATGTATTTGTGTTACAAACAGAAATCTCAATTATTTTTGACCATCCCTTGTACTATATACCTTTTTATATACCAAAAGCTAAAGCAATGAAAAACAACATATGTTTAATGATAAAAACAATAAAAAGGCGCTTAAAATAGTGTTTAAGAATAATGTTTATGATATTGATTGGACAAATAGATCAAAACCAACACAGATTTCGATATCAATACATGTTTTGCTTTATTAGCTTCGTCGGCTGATACATTTATAAAGGATATCACGTAAACGTACACTACAAACGTATACGTTAATAGACGCCACATTTGGCGCGTAAAAGAAACGTTACAAATTACAATAAGTTAAATAAAACATGTGCAAATGTATGAGTAAACGTAACATAAAACAACTGGATTAACAAGATACATATATTTTCATAGAGAAACTAGGCTAGTAAATAATTACAACAAGTATGAAATTAACAGTTACCTACGTGCAAGTTTAGAATTTCGAAACAAACTTGCTTTAATCTCATGTTTAAATTGTAAAAAGGGAGATAATAATTTAGAAACATCGATAAACATATAAAATAAAATGGAAATTATCTGAAAACGACTCTGACGATGCTTTATAAGATATACTGAATAATAGCGATGATTTTGAATGAATCTTTTCAGAGAAAACAAAAATCTTACATCTTCAGTCCATGGTGGTGTAGTTCTCCATGGGGAACTTGTAAAAGGAGAAGGGGGCGGTGGACCTATGAAATAAATTCAAATATTAGTTCCCATTATTATAGATAAGCTTTTGACCAAAGGGTATTACGACCTTAGTTTTGTTTTAAGGGTATTTGAAACTTAATCATATTCATTTTGGATCGATTGCAAAACAAATTATTGCATCGTAATCTATTTTGAGTCCGCTTCCTGGAACCAACAAGTACTGTAGTCATATGACGAAACATAGTCGAGCAGGGCTCAAACTAATGATCCCTATGTTGATAGTCAGACAGCTTAACCACAGCTTAACCACAAGGCCGCAGCTCCATTCAGAAAATTAACCTTTGTTTATCGTCAGCAGAGAGTCGTTTTCATCAGTTCATCACTTGACAGAAGTCATCTCTGCTTAATCTGCTACCAACAATAATATATTTTTTAAAATGGTTATTTAGTCATCTGTTCATTTTGGGCCATCATCAACGAAATCAACAGACCAAAGCCGATTTTATCCCTTGCAACAAACATGCTACTAATTGGACCAAATTGTAAAAGAAAATGACTGACATGAAGTGTGAATTTTTATATAAATAGATTATACAAAATACGTCAAAACGATCCACATATATATATCTGGCTAAAATGCATAAAGGTTTGGTGTGTTCCGATACCAACCACTTATCGGACAATTATTTTCTTGTTTTAAGGAATGTTTGTTTACCGTCTTGAAATTATTTGACCAGTTACGCACTTTAATCGAGTTGAACACGTACGCACAAAGTTAAATTATGATGCGTATTTCATACTTTTAATGCATACATACGACAATACGCGTCTTAACTGGTGATCTGTCAGACTAATAGCCACTGCAACTAAAATGTTATGATAAGAAGGTATAATTTTATCTACAAACAACTTTGCAATGCCTTTACCCACAGACTCAAATGTTTCTTAGTTTAAGATCAAAATATATTCTTTAATGCTCTGTAGCAATTTTATATTGCAATCAAATACACTCAATTGGGTAAAGGTAAAGTAATGTTTTTATGGAAACAGGTAATGATATATCGAACCCTCGACCAATTATGGACATTGAGAGTTCGACATTCGCAACGAATTCCGTCATCGTTATCTATAAATAATCGAAGTACTGGACTGGCAATCTAATTGCCATATTTTCTTAGGATGAAGTATTTTATAAGGGAACATGGCGTCCAGTCTCCTGATAGAAGTTTTGCTGTTTCGTCGACTTCTAATTACATAATTATGCAGTAACACACACTAGTGACTCAGATGAAAAATGACGAGCAGCAACCAATCATTAATTTAAATAAATTGGAAGTAAAAGAAAATGTTGAAAAATGAATAAAAGTAAAATTATTGAAATCAAGATGTCTTGGAGTTATAGTGTTTGTTCGTTTTATTTTTATTTTAACTGTTGCAAAAATCTGCCAAAGTATAATGAAAAGCTATAAAATTTTCATATAAACATTTATCTATATAATCAGAATCACCTAGAACCGAGAAGGTTTAATAAAGCTAAGCATTCTTTACATCGTATTTAGTGCATTCAGTGCTTTGATCTTATTTGAAGTGCTAAAAATATCCTTGATTAAATTCTTCAATTGAAAGAATTGAAATAAATATTTAAATGTAATAAGTATTCCTTTATGCGTTGTTTTAAGTCTTATTTTAAAATAGCATTACAGTCGGCTTTTAAGTAGCTGAGACTTTAAAGTGCTGTTCTAACTTTTGGCACAACCCTCTTGTAAAACAGTTTTTATGTGTGTACGCTTTGTTTTGTAATAAGATGTACATATGATTTTATTTCGTACATAAAAAAGTAATCTAAAGTTAGTAATCATTTATCATTTAAACGTAACCAGGTGCAGACAAGTTTATTTTTTGTGAAATAAAAATCTTACCAGGTTTCGAATTCGAGTCTCCCATTTTGATTTCCTAAAACACGGGCAAAGAATAGTCTGATGCAGCTGTATTTGCATAAATATAGTTATCTACATGTGACACAGTCTTTGTTGCTATATTCAATGATCACGTGTATATTTGCAAATGCCCATATTTGGCATTGTTTTTGAAAACACACCTGACAATTCATGTCACTATTTGGTAAACAACACGGTTGTTAAGGCACTGATTAGTTCCAGGCTATGTACAAGTTGTTTATTGTTTACTGTCTTAACAAGCTTATTATTGAAATGCATTGATGTGAAAAGGTGTAGTAGGTAGTAGATACATACGATAATAAGAATTAAGGCATTTAATGTGTGAATCGAATTAAGCTTTCACTTGCAAAAGGCGTGAAATTTATCTAGTGCAATATTTGGCCGCAGTGTTGCTTCAGTATTTTTTGCTACAGTATTTAATCCGCAATCTCTTTTTTGCAAAAATCTTCGATGAAGTAACATATTACTTTGCTGATTTTAAATGGTTGTCTGTGGTTTATACTTAATTAAAAAATAAGAATGAGACAGCAATGTTTTTCAAAGAATCTACTCGTCATATGATTTAGTTGATGCTTATATTTCTTCTATTTTATCATGGGCAAAATGAAAGAGTTTATTTCTGTTTTCTAAACTGTTTAAAAATCATTTTATCTGTGCCTTTATCATGTATTTGTTCCTGAAACAAAACATTTTTCTTACAGCCTTTAGACTTGCAAAGTCGATTAGATATTTTTTCTCCATATAAGGTAATGTAAGATTGAAGACATGCGCAATGTAAACGGAATACGAAACAGGGTTATTTGTTATGCTTTGAGGGATTGATTACACATCATATGAAAAAGACATTACTTTGTTTATAGGAGGACCGGAGTGATTGCTGTCGAAATACAGAACTGTGGTAATAATAATTTCCAAAGTACGTATAAAGTTTTGTTTTGTTTATTCTGTGATGAAGATTCAGTAATATGATATATAAATTTATATATCAATTGACAGTATTAAACAGAAAACTCAAACAGGTTTGTAATATGTGAGAAAAAGGTTTAATGTTTAACATTGTATTAGCATAGTATTGAAGTGCAAGTGTCTACCACACGTGCCGTAATCCTTCCTTAAAATAAGTTTATTTTGTTTTTCTTACTCTTTAAATTTTGCAAATTCAAAAGGAAACGATAAACACCACATTTCTTCTTCACATTTTTTTTGATGTGTCTATATTTGCTCCAGCGTATGTCGTGAAAGTTTGCTCGATCAGTTAAACCGATTTCATTTCGATTTCCGTGTTCTTCAAACTTTCTGTATTTCAGTAATACATTACACGTATATTGTATTTCTGTACACTACGAAATGAATATATATGAAAAAAGATCTGACTTTTTATATCAAAGGCTCTGTCAAAATTATCATACAATTTTATCTGTTGATTTATATTTTTACAACGAGCTAAAGTGACATTATGCACTTTCAAGGGTATGTATTAATTGAAAAAATGAAAGTCAATGTAGCTTCACAATTCCATTTTTTTTATTTTACTTTACAAAAACTACAAATAAATCATATAGCCCAATGCAATATATTGCCCAATACACATATACATTGCAATTTGTCTGTTATGATTAATTAATAAATGGAATGGGGCAGTTTTTTTATAGTTAAGGTAGATTTATATTTTATTTTAAACATATTTCAATATCAACAGTCGGTCAATTACCGTTAAATTTAAACTTTGATTTTTTTTAATTTAGCTCAACTAGATGAGCATAGTGTCAATATATTAAGCCTGTGTAAATATAAACTCTGATAACAAACGTTTTATGATCATGCGAGAAAGGCACTCTTCTGTATAGTGAATGAACTGGTGTGTTTTGTTTCGTTGTAAATAATGATCAAAGTCATTCACCCGGCCGAGTCATTTACCAAATTCGGTAAGGCTGAACAGTGCGTGTACAAGGCTGTCAAAACATGTTATTATAATTCAACATTTGTTCATATTTATTTTTATAGCGTTTACACTTTTTATTGCGGTTTCTTAAAGATATTTCAGTAAATACAATTTAGTTTGTTTTTCTCAGTGGCTAATCCGACATTTGTTTTATTTTTGTGATATCTAAAAATTAGTGATTCATACAAAGTAGTAAGCTTTTTTTAGAAATCTTAAATTTTGCGGTCTAATTACTGGACTTAAAACTTATTAAATACATCTATAGTGGTATAGTTATATAAGTTGTCGATAGCTAAAATCATAAGCAATTACTATTTACAGAGTACGGAAGCCCTGGAGGGACATTTATTATTTAAAAATTATTACTTATTTTCTATTCTTTATAACTTATCACTTATTATTTACAGATTATTACTTATATATAGTATTGAACCGCGCCATGTTTGGCAGGAAAAAACTCTGTTTACATCAAGACAATTACCGGAAAAGATGAAGGAGAACCGAAAGAACATCATTTATTTAAGGTCATACATTACGAAAGCCCTAGATAGAAAATTATTATTTATAACTTATTATTTATTATTTATTACTTAATATGTTTAATATAATTATCAATTATAATAAATTACCGTTACTTATTATTTATAATTTATTATTTATAACTTATTATTTATAACTTATTATTTATCACTTATTACTTATTTCAATCGAATATATCATTTAAAATCTGTGTATGTTGTAGTCTGATTATATAATGTATGCAATAAATATGTTAAATGGAAGTCACGTGATCAATGGAGTAACACGTATTTTTCTTGCTCGTGCAATCATTGAAATTATATGGAAATTATATTGATCTAATAGTTCAAAAGTGGATTTACATATCATAAATGCTTGAATTTCGATATACTGGATTTATGTGATTATCATATATGGGAGGAAAAAAGAAAAATAAACGTAAAAAGAGTGACGATAGTATTTAAAAACTTTATCCCGATATTTAGACAACGAATAATTGATTGTTTTATACAGGGGTGGCATGTATCTAAAGAAACGAGTTCTGTATTGGAATTATATAATGTGTGTAAAATTAGTTTTTGTTACGAAAATTATTTAGATATATTGCCTGATCATTTGAGACGACTTATTACTAGATTAAGAACTTCTGCACACAGCTTAAGAATACAAACTGGTAGATATGCCAGAAATAGAATACAAAGAAATGAACGGTATTGTCAATGTTGTTCTTTAAGAGACTTAGAAGATGAATTTCATTTTGTTCTTAAATGTCCATGTTATACAAGTATTCGTACCCTTTATATTAAAAGATATTATTTTGTTAACCCAAGTATGTACAAATTTATTGCATTGCTGCAAAGTATTAATAGAAATGAGCTATGTAAATTAGCACTATATTACAAAAATGCTATGACTATTAGAACTACAGTGTTAAATAATGTTCAATGATAGATAAAAATTTAGTTTATTAAAAATAAAGTTTAATGATAGATTAAAAATTAGTTTTGGTATTGATTTTTCTTCTTAAATATGTTCATCCTCACTTAACTGAGGCTTAATAACAAATATCTGAACAATGACAATTGTTACAATTACAATTATTAATCTCTTTATATTATTTATTTTATTAATTTCTTTATATTGATTGCACTGAAAATTACATGTTACTCAAATATTATTATGTTATGTATATGATGATGTACTATGTACAAATCAGAAATAAAAGATCTGTTCTGTTCTGTTCTGTTAAAACAAAATGCCTCTTAAATTATTATGTAACTAAGATATTTTCGACTGAAATGAGAAGTAAATTGATAAATAGAAAGTTATTAAAAATAAGTAATAGATAATAATTGATAATTAGGTTAAACATATTAAGTAATAAATAATAAGTAATAAATAATAATCTTCCTTCCAAGGCTTCCATATTATATGACCTTCTATAAATGATGTTCTCCTTCATCTTTTCCAGTCTTGATGTAAATAGTTTTTTGCCCTGGAGGGACATTTATTATTTAAAACTTATGACTTATTGCCTATTATTTATAATCTATCACTTATTATTTACAGATTATTACTATATTTAGTATTGAAACGCGCCTTGTTTTGCAGGAAAAATCTCTGTTTACATTAAGCGAAAAAGATGAAGTAGAACATTATTTATAGAAGATCATATAATACGGAAGCCCTGGCAGGAAAATTATTAGCTATTACTTATTATTTATTACTTAATATGTTTAACATAATTATAAATTATAATATATTACTTATTATTTATTACTTATTATATATCACTTATAACTTATTAAAGTCAAATATTTCTTAGTTATATATTAATTTAAGAAGTATTTAGTTTAAACATATTTATTGCACACATTATATATCAGACTACAGCATACACATATTTTAAATGATATATTCGACTGATAGTTCCTCATCTAAACCCCCATTTCTTTCTTTAAAACATTAAAAACGTGTATTATTATTTTTTATTTCTGTTTAATAATACTGCATTTTCTCTCAAGACTTTACAACCGGAACATATATATTGTAAAATATTATTTTGTAAACCCCTTATGTATTTTATTAATACCTGGGTGAATAAAGATATTTGAACTGAATTGAATTGACAAATAATAAGTTATAAATAATAAGTAATATATTATCATTGATAATTATGTTAAACATATTAAGTAATAAATAATAAGTAATAAATAATTATTTTCCTTCCATGGCTTCCGTATTATATGACCTTTTTAAATAATGTTCTACTTCATCTTTTTCGCTAATTGTCTTAATGTTAACAGAGTTTTTCCTGCCAAACAACGCGCGTTTCAATACTAAATATAAGTAAACATCTGTAAATAATAAGTAATAAGTTATAAATAATAGGTAATAAGTAATAATTTTTAAATAATAAATGTCCCTTCAGGGCTTCCGTAACCTATATGTCTTTATTTCAAAATCAAATATTTCTTTTAACAAAAGAAGTCTAAGAGTATAATATATTAAGCGAAATTATTGTGATAGATCATCCATCTCTTAAATCAACAAACATGAAATTACGGAAGCCCTGGAGGGACATTTATTATTTAAAAATTATTACTTATTACCTATTACTTATAACTTATCACTTATTATTTACAGATAATTACTTATATTTATTATTGAAACGCGCCATGTTTGGCAGGAAAACTCTGTTAACATCAAGACAATTAGCGAAAACATCATTTATAGAAGGTCATATAATACTACGGAAGCCATGGAGGGACATTTATTATTTAAAAATTATTACTTATTACCAATTTTTATAACTTATCACTTATTATTTACAAATTATTACTTATTTTAGTATTGAGCCTTCCAATGTTTGACAGGAAAAATCAAGACTATTAGCGAAAAAGATGAAGGAGAACATCATATAAAGAAGGTCATATAAATCGGAAGCCATGGAAGGAATATTATTGTTTATTACTTATTATTTATTACTTAATTTGTTTAGCATAAATATATTAATAATTATTTATATCTTATTATTTATCACTTATTACTTATTTCAGTCGAATATATCATTTAAAATATGTGTATGTTGTAGTCTGATTATATAATGTCTGTAAAAAATATGTTTAAACTATAAAAACTTCTTAAGTTATTATGTAACTAAGATATAGTCGACTGAAAAAGTAGTAAATTAATGAATAATTGTAAGTTATAAATAATAAGTAATAGATTATAATTGATAATAATGTTAAACATATTAAGCAATAAATAATAAGTAATAAGTAAAAAATAATAAGTAATAAATAATAATGTTCCTTCCAGGGCTTCCGTATTATATGATTTTCTATAAATGATAGTCTCAATCATCTTTTTCGCTTGTCTTGTTGTAAACGGAGTTTATTCGTGTCAAACATGGCGCGGTTCAATACTAAATATGAAAAATAATCTGTAAATAATAAGTGATAAGTTATAAAAAATAAGTAATAAGTAATAATATTTAAATAATAAATGTCCCTCCAGGGCTTCCGTATAATACGGAAGCCCCGGAAGGAAAATTACTATTTATAACTTTGAAGGAAAATTATTATTTATTACTTATTATCTATTACTTAATATGTTTAAAATATAATTATCAATTTTAATATATTACTTATTAGTTATATTTTATTATTTATCACTTAGTACTTATTTCAGTCGAATATATCATTTAAAATCTGTGTATGTTGTAGTCTGATTATATAATGTATGCAATAAATATGTATAAACTAAATAATTCTTAAATTATTATGTACATGTATCTAAGAAATATTCGACAGAAATAAATAATAAGTGATAAATAAATAGTTATAAATAGCAAGTAATATATTATAATTGATAATTATGTTAGACATATTTATTAATATAAAATAAGTTATAAATAATAATGTTCCTTCCAGGGCTTCCGTATTATATGACCTTCTTTAAATGATGTTTTACTTCATTTTTTTCACTAATTGTCTTGATGTAAACAGAATTTTTTTCCTGCCAAACATGGCGCGTTTCAATACTAAATATAGTAATAATCTGTAAATAATAAATGATAAGTTATAAATAATAGGTAATAAGTTATAAGTTTTAAATAATAAATGTCTCTCCAGGGCTCCCGTACAAACACGGCAAAAAGGTCATATGTTGCAGAGCCGGTTTGATTGAGCCCGTTCATGTCTTAAATAATAAGTTAAAGTTATAAATCTAAAGTAATAACTCTTAAGTTATAGGTTTCAAGTAATAGTAGTTTTCAAGTTTGTAACACCTATACTTTATCTTTTTTAACAATAATTTTAGCCTATCCTTATGGTGGCATATTTCTGTCACCAGAAAACCATATAACTAACTAGTTAATTAGGAGGATAACTAGTTACGTAACTAGTGAATATTTTCAATAAATAAAGATCATAATCGGAAATAAATGCATGTAAGTGCCTATAACTTCCATCCTTTTATTAACAGCTTAATATTCAGTGGTTAACTAGTAACGTTACTAGTTTACTTTATAATTAACTAGTTAGTTAAGTTATTAACTAGTTACATAACTTATTAACCAGTTAGCGATATTTTGCATAAGTGGTAAGTGGTTAACTAGTAACATAACTAGTTAACTACATAATAGACTAGTAATTTAAGTGATTAAATAGTAAGGTAACTAGTTAACCAGTTATCACTTATCTTTAATAGCATTGTTTTGCTCCATTTCATTGATACTCAGTCACTTTTTAGTCATTTCAGACATTAGACAAAGCCTTTGAGTCTATTAATAGATAGACTGGTTAACTAGTTACGTAACTAGTTTATCACTTAAATAACTAGTAAGTTATGTAGTTAACTAGTTACGTTACTAGTCGTAAATAGTCGTTTTAAGACAATGACTTTGATTGTTTTATATTAACAGTAAAAGAAAAAATCAAAAAGTCAAGTGTCAAGATTTCATTTAAGATCAAAGTCATAATGATTATGTTTTTTTTTATTTTGAACTAAATGAGTATGTTGTAAGCAATAAATGGTTAACACAGTTAACATATATATTTGCAGGGAGCCTAAAGGTGCAGATCAAGGGCAATATGGCAGAAAATGTAAGACAATTTACTAACATTTTGTATGGTGATTACGGCTAAAAAACTAAAGCTAATTTAAAAGCTATTCAGAGATATTACATATTTAATTGTCCCATATGAATGCAAGTAATCCATTTAATTTTATCTTCTGTTTTACCGATTTTTTTTAATCTTTGGAAAATAAAAGACTTATAAGTGAAAAATAGATACTTATAAGAGATAAAACATAGTGATTAAATACACAAAACACTCAAAGAAAATAGCACCCATACATAAATATAATATCTCGTTAAACAAAGCACATGAAATCTACACACGAGGTGACCTCTGACGAGTTACTTGCCGGCTGTTCAAAGAATCTGTCAATTTTTGATGTTTACACACATGTAGTTGCTGCTGCTTAATCCGAATAAACAAGATGCAGAAACTCAATTGACTTTCGCTTATTTTTATAGATGAAGAGGTAGTTTTTTTTTCAAAAACAGATTAAACATGTTAAATTTCTGCAAAAAACAAACAGTTTTGTCGGATAATTATCGTGTCAATTATTGACATTTCATTAATCGTCAGTGAATTTTAATTTGTTTTTGAGAAAACCCTTATTGATTTTTATGGTCCCCAAAGGGAGAGCATATAGTCGCCACCTTGCCCGTCTGTCCATCTGTCCGTCCGTTGTTTGTCCGAGGTATAACCTTAATACCCTTGAACAGAATTTTTCTTAAACTGCACACAGTGGTAGAGCCCATTGCGGAGTCAAAATAAATAAAAAAAAAAAAAACAACAAAAAACATAACTCTATTTTGACCCGTCTGAATTATCTCCACTTTTAGTACAATCTTGTCCGAAGAATAACTTGAAAGTCCTTGGAGATTATTTATTTAAACTGCACACAGGGGTAGAGGATTTAATCGGTAAACATTGTAAATAAGATGTTGCAATCTGTATATGTCTTAATGTGTTACCTTCGGTAATTAAAGTTATTATTATTATTATTATTATAATTATTATTATTATTATTATTATTTCACTTTACATTTTAATATGTTTATTAACAGTAAAATGTGCCCACTTTATGACTTTGCCTGTATGTTTCTGCTTTGCACATGTGCCTTTGGCTCCTGCTTCAAGGAGCATATATCGGTTTTACCGATCGTCTTGTTTTTAAATCTTAAAAAGTCGGTAGTGATTATATCACTTTATCACAATCTAGAGTAAATTATTGATAAGAAACAAAAGATGTAAGCACCTTGCAGATGTTAATAATAATATACATAAGCACGCATGTGTAGTGATGTTAAAACATAGGAATAGTTATGTTAAAAGTGGTCAAATCTTATTATTAAAACAGTATGGAACAAGTGGAATAAGCCACAACAACTTGCATGTCTTAAATTTGTAAGTTGGAGTTTCATTCAGAAAAGTATGTCTCGATTAACCTATGTCTACTTTTGCAAAGAATTTAGTTCAGATGAGGTGAGATCCCCTTTCAGTCTGTAACAGAGCGGTATGAACATTTTAATATATCCCAGCAAGTGTATCTGTTCTGCTCTTACTTCATTGAAGGCGAGTATAATGGTTCATATATCTGCCCAATTCTCATACTAAAGAAGAAAAATATGTTGTTTAGAAAATAAAGCATGTATAAATTTCTTAGTTGCACATGTATAAGAGTCTATAATTCTGTATTTTTCCTAATATCTTTAAAGGAGTATCAATTTAAGGTATGAGCCCCCCCCCCCCCCTAATGGGCACTATAAGGAACTATAAAATTGACAACATAGGTCAGTTATATACCTTTTAAGACACAAGAATGCAAGATTTAAACAAAGTTTACCGTATGGTTTACGAGCTATGAAAATTTTTCTAAAGTAAAACTTGGCTATAAGAAGGGCTCTTTTTCAGAAATGAGAAACTCTAATTAGTCTATGATATAATCATTATGAAATAATCTTTTCCTCTAGAAAATATTTAAGAAACAAAGAATAGCATTCAGCTAACAAATGACCCAGCAAAATTATTGTTTCTATTCAAAATGTTTGAAATATGTATAAATGTTACCCTACCCCACCCATTTTAAGTAGTTGTTTGATCATTTTTCTACTTTGAGGGCCTTATTCAAAATATCCCTTAAGGTTTACTCAAATCAGGGGCTGTTTTCAAAGTTTGCATAAATTTTCTTACAAGTATATTGGATGTAAAATACTTTTACAGTCTAGTTTTTATTTTATTAGACTTTGAAAATATCAGGTGCCATATTTGTTAATAAATTTGGCACAATTAAGCTAATAAATACCAATAATAATTTTATAATTAAAATGAAACACTTTTTTCTTATCAAGAGTGATCTGAGAGACACAAATAATGTTAAAAAAAAAAAAGTCGCCTCTTTTGGGGCTTGAACCCACGCCCCTCAGTTTCAATGCAGTTGACAGTAGATCTAGCCTACTTGAATACTCTTCAAAGTGGAGGTAATGCATTAGGTGTGTCATACCATAAGACATCAATGATTGTGTTTGATACAACATTTCAAATATACATATTAATAATTTGATGATTTAATGCTTTAATCATGTACATATGTATGCAAATTCTTATTCATAAACTTTCAAGCAACTTTGATTCGATCACTTTTGTATAAGTTGTAAGTGATTAATATCAAATTAACTAAAGAATTTTCTAAACTTAAATCTACTGACATAGTTTCTGCTGGTATTATGTCTTTTAGTAGACAATTAAATTTTATTACTTTTATAATGTTATTTTTAGGCAATAATATGTTTTCATGATACAAATATTAAAATAATATTCGTTTATATGTGCTACGAAGTTACCAGCAAAGAGAAAAACAATCTCTCAATTTATTTTAAGACCAGCTATATATTGTTTATATGGTCTTTATATCTTTGTTTTTATGTATGTATGTATGTATGTATGTATGTATATATGTATGTATGTATGTATGTATGTATGTATGTATGTATGTATGTATGTATGTATGTGGGTGCGTGCGTGCGTGCGTGTATGTATGTATGAGACGATAATGAAAAATATAAGCAATATTGATTAAGTCCATTGATTTCAAATTTTTAGATTTTGTATAAACAAGGCAGATGTACTAACTTTATGTTATACATTTACCTCTATATTTTCAGGATGATTTAATTACGGAAATGAATCAATTATGTCACTGTCTTGAACAAGCTATCGAAGAAGCTGTAAGTCTATGTTTACAATTATTGTTTATACCGGTATTTGATATATAATTATTTGCATTTCAATATCAATAGTTTTATTTAAGTGTTTTCTTCCTTTATTGATGAAGTAAATATACCTTCATCATGACTTATTCAATGTTAAACTGACGTGTTGGCAAAGGTATGAACAGAAAATTAAATCAATTTTTATGTCTATAGATGCACACTGACCGTTATGTTGGGAACATTTACTTTAAATTTGTAATGATGTCTCTCAGTTAAATCAAGTCTATTTTCTGCTTTTATGTTGAAAAACATGCATATAATTTTCTATTTCGTAGATCTCTTGTTAAAGCTGATTACAAGAACCATAGTTGTTTCTTAATGAAAATTATAATGACAACATTTTTCAGAGGTAGTAAACTCCATAAAGAGGACAAAACGTTATTCAAATAATCCTTATTTACAGCCGAATTTTAATTACAGATGTGTCAAACCTAAATTTTGATTTGATTTTGAGCATGACAAAGTGTAAACAACTTAAACGTATGTTGCGCAAGTCACCATAAAAGGAACAATTGTAAGAGAAAAACTTTAACATTAAAAGGTGTTGTCAGATATTTGAAAAACGTTCCTTCCTTATCTAGCATACAAAGACAAACTTCGTGCAAAACAATATATCATATATACTACTATGTGGATTTTGGATTTCAATCTTTCAAATATTGTTAATTTTAGAACGAAAATGCCTTGACTTTGAAAACGGAAGACGGAATCAAAATCCTCCAATGTATCAAGGTAAAGGGTTTTCTTTTGATTGTTTTTTGATATGACAACAATGTGAAATTAATCTTTCTTGTTGTTTGTGTCAATATGCTTTTTTATGGATGTATGTTGACCTGGTTTGGCAAAAAAAGCCAAAACACTTTACATCATAGTTTTATTTTTATTTTGGTTACTTAAATTAACAAGAAAATTACTTTGTGTTTAGGCAACCACCATGTGTGTATTATGTTTTGGTCACTTGTCATATGAACATGATAACGCATGACTATCATCTTTTTTCTTATTTTATTCTGCTTGCAAGTCTTGTTTGGGAAATTCATATTGATTAAACACGTTCCATATTAATAAATGCATGCCTATACTATTTGATAAAAATTATAATAATATTCTTTAATACCTCAGTATGTGCTTATTATTTAAATATGTGTTATTCAAGTCAATAATATATCATTTAGAAATCAATAGAGAAACTCGATCAGGGCCAACCAAGCGAAACAAATAACGTATGAGTATCATCTTTTTTCTTATTTAATTCTACTTGCAAATCTTGTTTTGGAAATTCATGTTGATTAAACACATTTCAAATTAAATAAATGCATGCCTATACTATTTGATAAAAATTATAATGATATTCGTAAATACCTCAGTATATGCTTATTGTTTAAATATTTTTTATTCATGTCAATCAAATATCATTTAGAAATCAAGAGAGAAACTCGATCAGGGACAACCAAGCGAAAAAAATAACGTATGAGTATCATCTTTTTATTATTTAATTCTGCTTGCAAGTCTTGTTTGGGAAATTCATATTGATTAAACACATTCCATATTAATAAATGCATGCCTATACTATTTGATAAAAAATATAATTATATTCGTAAATACCTCAGTATATGCTTATTGTTTAAATATTTGTTATTCACGTCAATCATATATCATTTAGAAATCAAGAGAGAAACTCGATCAGGGACAACCAAGCGAAACAAATAACGTATGAGTATCATCTTTTTGTCTTATTTTATTCTGCTTGCAAAATTTTGTTTGGGAAATTCATCTTGATTAAACACATTCCATATTAATAAATGCATGCCTATACTATTTGATAAAATTATAATGATTTTCGTAAATACCTCAGTATATGCTTGTTATTTAATTATGTGTTATTCATGTCAATCAAATATCATTTAGAAATCAAGAGAGGAACTCGCTCAGGGACAACCAAGCGAAACAAATAACGTATGAGTATCATCTTTTTTCTTATTTAATTCTTCTTGCAAGTCTTGTTTGTGAAATTCATATTGATTAAACACATTCCATATTAATAAATGCATGCCTATACTATTTGATAAACATTATAATAATATTCTTTAATACCTCAGTATGTGCTTATTATTTAATTATGTGTTATTCACGTCAATCGTATATCATTTAGAAATCAAGAGAGAAACTCGATCAGGGACAACCAAGAGAAACAAATAACGTATGAATATCATCTTTTTTCTTATTTAATTCTACTTGCAAGTCTTGTTTTGGAAATTCATGTTGATTAAACACATTTCAAATTAAATAAATGCATGCCTATACTATTGTATAAAAATTACAATGATATTCGTCGATACCTCAGTATATGCTTTATTTAAATATTTGTTATTCACGTCAATCCTATATCATTTAGAAATCAAGAGAGAAACTAGATCAGGGACAACCAAGGGACACAAATAACGTATGAGTATCATCTTTTTTCTTATTTAATTCTTCTTGCAAGTCTTTTTTTGGAAATTCATGTTGATTAAACACATTCATATTAAACAAATGCATGCCTATACTATTTGATAAAAATTATAATGATATTCGTAAATACCTCAGTATATGCTTATTATTTAATTATGTGTTATTCATGTCAATCAAATATCATTTAGAAATCAATAGAGAAACTCGATCAGGGACAACCAAGCGAAACAAATGACGTATGTGTATCATCTTTTTTCTTATTTAATTCTGCTTGCAAGTCTTGTTTGGGAAATTCATATTGATTAAACACATTCTATATTAATAAATGTATGCCTTAAGTATTTGATAAAAATTATAATGATTTTTGTAAATACCTCAGTATATGCTTATTATTTAAATATTTGTTATTCATGTCAATCAAATATCATTTAGAAATCAAGAGAGAAACCCGATCAGGGACAACCAAGCGAAACAAAGAAAAGTAAGCTACATGGTAAAAAATCTTTTTTTGTTTACAAGATATTATAAACTAAAACTTGAAATATATTGAATTAAATAACACAGAACTTATGCCTAATATCATTTCTCAAAGGCTTGTTTTTAAATAGTATACTCTTAATTTATGCTAGTCTTTTAAAAGAAATTAAATTTCTACAGCTATATATGTAAATTTCTACTTAGTTTATCCAACATATTGATTTGAATTTTGGAAATGATTAAATGGATACTCAGGCATAGTAATGTCAAAAATATTAAAATTGTTTTATATACTCAATTCACCATGTAATGAAATTTTTAAAGTTCCAAATTTTATATATTTTCGATTTGAAGCGAAAAAAATCTATATATATGTTAAACGAATTTTAGGCGCCGACAAAGTCATCGAGCAGTTTAAAAAATGTCATATGACTTGAACAAACCCTTGAAGTTACAACAACTGACTGTCAGATATTTTTTTCAGGACATTTACATAATAATAAATTCAAAACTCAAAATGATGAAATAAACATTTTGCCAGTGTCTACCTTTTAAATGAAATGTGTATTCGCGGAACCAATTTTAAAAGGTCATATCTTTTTTCAAGTGATAAATTATTCTCAGTAAAAGTGTTTATTTGACTTTGCTTGTATAATTACTTATTCATACATTGTATAACGTTGTCAACGAATTAAGAAACACGCACCGCACATGTTTTGTTGAATATCTAAGATTTTTTTCTGTTTTCATTTTGACCGCATTTATTACAAGCTTGGTGATTTTGTGTTATAGCATGCCCCGCAAGAAGAACAAAATAAAGTTCAATCAATTGTAAAATCAAAGAAGTTTCAGTCAACATTGGCAAACGTGTTGTAAAAATTCGTCACCGTCATACGAGTTAAAAAACAAATTTCTTATTGCGAAAGAAATAAGTAAAGTATGCTCAAGGTATTGATAGGGACTAGTAGTTGAGAAATTACTTAGTAACTTTAAAAAAAACACTTTAAAAGAAAAATGAAATATCTTTGCAAAACAAAAATAAGAATCGAGCTCAAAAGTCTTTCGATTACTATGTGTCCTATTATAAGAGTACAGTAGTTTTACTGATATACACTTGAGGACCATCATCGATTGGTGACAATCTCATTTTTTGATCTAAACCTAATGATTTTGTAAATTGAGTGAACTTGTGGACAGTAAAATCAGTATATTTAGTTTTTCGTTAACAAATGGTTAAATGTCAGAAATAACAACATAAATAATAATATTCCTAACAACTAAACACATTTCAAATACTTTTAGTTTAATCTGAAAAAGAGAACAGAATAAGCCATACGGTTCAGCCAGAACAACATTCCATTAACACAAGAAACAATAAAACAAATACTCATAACTAAGTGTAAAAGACAAGCTAATGATAATTTTCTAATTAATTTCAGAACCGCGCGGGAAGACGAAAGATATTTATGTCTTTATATCTCGTACTCAAGGCAAATTTGTCCAAGAAATTGCAAAAGAATTCTCCAATCTGTTGTTGAAAATGTCCATACACAGTACATCTTTTACCGGGAAAAAGCAGCTTAAAGACGATTCCAAACTCATTGCTCTTTGTCCTATTGTCTCTAGACTAGAGTCGGACATTGAACATGTGCTTAAAGAATTACCAAAATTTTCATGTGAGTGAAATCCTCTTTGTTTTTTTTAATTGTTTTTTAAGATAATTCTTAAAATGATACCAACAAGGTTTCAAGAATGCAATTTCATTATCCATTTGATAATAATTAAAGCTAGAAATTATTTTAAATGTTTTAACAGCGTACGCTGCAATTTGAATCACATTATGATGTTAAAACTAAAAACGAACTCTATCACAAAATGTAATGCAAAACATATTTAAATAAAGTCCAAACATATTGTATTTATATCCGTAAAATATATTAACTCAAAATTGATAAGAAATAACATGAAAATGCACAACAGTCTCAAGAAAAGTATATTCATACAAAATCGGGCAAATATAATGAGCATCTTGAGCAAAAAGTTCGTGTTAAAAATAAGATTAAAAAACATCGCTATCTTAACGATTGTAATAGCGCACTAAAAGGTTAATCAGTTTAGAACAAAGACATTTCATAAGTACGGAAGCCCTGGAGGGACATTTATTATTTTAAAGTTATTACTTATTACCTACTTTTTATAACTTTTTTATCACTTATTATTTACAGATTATTTTTCATATTTAGTATTGAACCGCGCCATGTTAGACAGGAAAGAAATCCGTTTACATCAAGACAAGCGAAAAAGATGAAGGAGAATATCATTTTAATACGGAAGCCCCGAATATATCTTAGTTACAAAATAACTTGAAGTATTTATAGTATAAACATATTTATTACAGATATTATATAATCAGACTACACTATACACAGATTTTAAATGATATATTCGACTTTAAAAAGTAATAAGTGATAAAAAATAAGTTATAAATAATAAGTAATATATCATAATTGATAATTATGTTAAACATGTTAAGTAAATAATAATAAGTAATAAATCATAATTTTCCTTCCAGGGTTTCTGTATTATATGACCTTTCATAAATGATATTCTACTTCATCTTTTTCGCTCATTGTCTTAATGTAAACAGAGTTTATCCTGCCAAACATGGCGCGTTTCAATACTAAATACATGTATAAGTAGTAATCTGTAAATAATAAGTAATAAGTTATAAATCATTTAAGCCTAATAGTGTTTATATGGATGTTTCTGGTCAGCCGTACAGTTCTAATTTAATAGATGATTAGTTATATTTAGTTATGAAAATATATTATAATTAAGCCAAACATTGTTGAAAAGATAGCAAACTTTATATGGATGTTCCTGGTCAACCGTACAGTTCTAATTAAATAGATTATTAGTTATATTTAGTTATGAAAATATCTTATAATTAGCCAAAACATTGTTGAATATAGTGCAATGAGCGTTTTATAACTCGAAATATACAATATGGACAAAACCACATTAATTAACTCCCTTGCGAAATATAACATACATGTATTATATAAAGTTAGCTATCGGTGTCTATTAACGTATGTATAGACAACTTTATTGCTAGTTACACAATCGGTACGATAGTGCTACAATTATTATATATGTTTGTAAAAATGGAAATATAACTCCTGTGCACAGTTAAGAATTGTATTAAGTATATTATTTTGTCTTATGACCCAAGTTAGTCGTAAGGCTTTTCTTAAATTACAACTTTGCTATCGAAATATGTTTTGGAATAGCCAATTGTTAACCTTCCCTTTCGTTTCGTTTAAGGTTAACTGTAGTTTTGGAGTACTATTCCCTTTCAATATAGTATAGTGTGATACTATAGTTGGTAATTTCACTTGTATCTGGATAAAAATGTTTTAAAACGAAATATTACGCTATACTACTGATACAGATGTGTAACCTTATCATAGATGTAATACGTTATATAACTCGTAATATACAATATGGACAAGACTACATTAATTAGCTACCTTGCGAAATCTAATATAGTATATATAGTTAGATATCATGTATAGATAACTTTATTGCAAGTGACACACTAATGTATGTGAAATTCAACATGTTCGTAACTCAATATTAAACTATGTAATATATGTTAAACTGATTATGTCAAATCATATACTGAAGGAAACAAATATATTAAACTGTTCACCTTCAAGAAATTTGCAGACTATCCATTGATTTTGTGATTGTATATATGTATGTATGAATGAATGTACTTTGTATACGTCAAAATAAACTTTCTGTTCTGTTCTGTTTTTTAACATAAGAGATAGTCATCTTTTGTTGTTTCGGGAATTACATAAAAACATTTGATTGAATATTTCGGATAGTTACATTATTATGTAATTGAGTAAAAAATACTTTTCAAACTAATTTTATTTGTCACAACCTTTTTCAGTATCTGGTAGATTTGCACTGGTAGTTGTCAATATGAAAAGTGAAGATAATCTGCCTCGATTGCCAACTGAAACCAATCTTGATACAGATAAAGCAGTCTATAAGAACATAGAATTTATTGATATGGCTTTTACGCCAGAAAATCAAATGTATGATTGCAACATGAACCGGAAAGCAACAGAGCGTATCCAATCTTTCGTAAACAATACAAGTCAAAAATGACACATTCAAGCGGCATTACATGTCTAATTTATTGACGTTATCAATTATTAGACTGAATTATTAGACTGTCATCTATTAATGAAGTACACAATAAGAACTTGCCTAAAAAACTACCAAAAACAAGACACTGTTAATAACACTGATTTAATATCAAAATCAATTTTTACCATGATATCATCTTTCTCGAAATAAACATTTATGTAATTTATCATTACTTCTATTATATGAATTATTTGTCGTTTGAATTTAGATACCCAATTAGCGTTGCGCTGAATAAATCTTTCAGAAAAGACCTCTCTGTAATAATATAGAAATATTGCTTTTGTTAATGTTATGATCTCGCTGAAGTTCGATTAGTGCTTGTACTTTTATAGTCCATGAATAGGATAAATAAAATCGAAAGTTATATTGTCAATTTTGCTGTTTTACTGATCAGGTATAGTAACATATGAGAAAACGGTATAAACATATTAATGCACGTTATTGATGTGTAAGCTATGTTAATACCCCATCACCTAAACCAATAGAAGAATTGTACTTGTGGTAATAGTGCAAGTGCCTTAGCAAAGGGATTTTGGATGCAAGCCCTATTTCGGTAACACCGTTCTTTTTTCATACATCACCGGCTACTGATAAATCCTCGATGTTGATACGAATTAATGCATCTCAGTTCCAAATGGTGAGCACAAAGATCAAGAAGAACAAAGATTACGATCACAATCATCAACGCAATCCACATTGTTTAAAGATACAATTAGAAAAGAAAATCCTATTCCAAAATAGCATGCCCGGCTTTACAATTATGATGAATATGTGTAAGAAAAAACTTCACAGTTAGAAGTATATGAGAAGACGCGCTTAAGATGTGAGAGAACTTTTAATCGTATAAAAAGGATGTTATGTCTGTCGGGTTACTAATAACTATATCATGGAACAAAAAGAGGAAAAAGGACTTCGGTGTACATGTATATATATTAGCTCCTTAAAAAGGCTGATATTGTGTTGTTGAAAGGAAGAGATTAAAAAACTAATAACTATCACACCTATCTTAACAGATCAATCATTGCCAGAGAATATTTATGCATAAATCCCTACAAGGCACTTACCTTTAAAAGAATTTCAATTTGAATTATCAGATAATTGGATTGAAGTGAGAATTTCACCACAGAATATTCGTAATAATAGAGTTCGTGTGAATCTAGTTATTCAATAGAAAAGAAGGGATCTATCAATTTGGTACATCAATTCTTCCTATATAAATGTTTCATTGTATACACTTCGTTATCGGTATGCAACACAATTATTCTGTAATGTTAATTCCTTGTGTTTAATGTTATCTCTCGGTTTTGTGTGAGGAATATGTAATAAATTTGCTAGAGACAATTTGAAAATAATTAAACAGATGGATTGTTTTATTGATTTTTTGAAATATAATGTCAAAAGCTTTTGCATGTTGCTAGTATTTTATTCAAATCCTCTAAAAACTTGCTAAACCTAACTAATGTATTTAAACCAAATTGAAGGCCATATTGATTTTATCTTATGATAATACCTTGAGATAAATATCATAGATACCTTTTTCATATCTGTTTAATATAGAGGCTATTCGTTGCCAAAAATCCAGCCTTTGAAACTTGACAATGCATACTTCGGTTCTACTAAACAGATTAGTAAAAATCTAATTGTCGATCCGAGAGATACATACTGCACTGGTATTACCTCGATTTGATAAAATGAAAGCTGTTAACATGCAACTTAGATAAATTGCAAAATGTATTTATAAATGTATAACTTCAAATTTGCGACATGTAGAAATGTAAACGATAGAACGTACACAATACGTTTAATGCTGTGCATCATGACGTTGAGAATGTAACTGCATCAACTTGACACACTCAGGTTTACAACACCACATTTTCCATTTACATTCTAACGCGATTAACATTTGTAAACGATTTTGCAACTTCCATATATGGAATTATCACGGAAATAGACGAAAACTAATAGGCGGAGCCAATTTCACGAAAGCAGAATATAAAGAGAGGTAACTCTTGCTGGTACAAAAATATTTCAAATTATAAAGAAACTGTTACATCAATCTTGACTTTGAACATCCTCTGATTTTGTTAAAACGTATTCTAGTACAGGATATTCAAGTAATGCGAAATTGGTTAAGATATAATATAAAAATGTAACAACGTATATACTGATAATGAGCATAATAATATGCAAAAACTAAAGTTGGTGAAATAACATAAGGAAATGTTTCCCATATATAATGACACACACCACTATTCATTGATAACAATGATAGGGTTTTGTGAGCCACGGCAATACTCTTAAGCATATCATTTTTTTACCTTCAGCAAATAATACTATAATGCGATACATGGAAGGCACTTTTGGCAACACGAATAAAGAGAACTGAACAATAAGCCTGTGCCTTCTTTCTTTAAAGGACTATGTTGGATTATAGAAAAACTCATATTTTTTACCAAGTGTATAACCACGAAACAATGCAAAGTTTACTATCGATAATTCCGTTGTATAACCAAAACTTGTGAATTTGTCCCATTTTAATGTTGAAATAACTAGAACTGCCACTATCATGGCGTGAATACCCCCGCATACCACTTTGTCAGAATCAACAGTGGCCATTTAGAACTCAAGGACAACCTCCCTGCCAAATCTGAGGTTACTAAGCCAGTGCATTGCTAAATTATGTATTCTACATGCTTCAAATGTGAAAATGTCAAAATCAATACACTCTGGACGGCCAGACGGCCGGACGGCCGGACGGACAATCTGATTCCAGTATACCCCCCTTACAACTTTGTTGTGCGGGGGTATAAATATTCAGTGTATCCTGGCAACTCTGTTTACCTGCATTGGGAGGTATTTGGAGTCAAAGGATGTGATTTAGCCTTTTATTGTTAAATATATGTAAGCTGGCGTAGGTTAAGGTCTTTTTATGCATTGTGCTGAATCAAAAGCACCTCTAAAATATGTGTATACATGCTGTCATTAGCTGTTACCTAGATTTGCTGTCTAAATTTGCTGTTTATATGATCAAAAACAGAGAACTTCTTTTATTTACATGAAATACTACACAGAATATTTATTAAGTTTTGTAAGTGATGGCTTTCTAAGAGATAAAATAAACAAGGTATACATAAATTGATAATCAACATACATACATTTGGACTCATTTAAATTTTACTTACTGAAAAACAATGGGAAAATATATATGGTAAAAATAAAAAGTTATGTACGAAAGGGTACATACAAGTTTGGTTATAATTTTACTGTTGTTAAAGGTTTTTTTTTTCTTGTCAAGTCATACGCTAGAATTAAGGTTACTTATATAATAGTACTACTAGGAAAGACAACAGTCAGAATTTGGTCTGTATTAGTAATTACTCGTATCAAAATCTTTATCAGATGTTGACTTGAAAATTTGGAAGAGGTAAGGTAGCAACTTAACTGTAAATGTTACTCATTCCTACGCAAATTGGAATACAATCAGTAAAATTTATTTGTCGTTGAATATAGTCTTTTCAATCGTTTTCACTTCCTTGAAAAATATTTAACCTCAGACAGTATGTAACCTGGTGTTTTTTTGGGTTTTTTTTAAGTCTCTTTTTCCAGGAAATGTGGTATCTACAACGTTTTAAAACTTATATGCCTATATTCCTTAAAAGTCCGCTGATGTTGATTGTAGGCAATCATGCAAATGAATTATGTTTAGTAACTAAACACCTGAAAGGTATGATAATCGGAAACCACGCCGCTTTTGTCGCCGATGATAAATACCGAAAATGAGCGGAAAATACGTTTATTTACGATGACTTAGTGGGCGGGAAAATGGGCGGAGCTTATTTTATCTACTATTGAAAAACGTGTAAAGCTGGATTATGCTGATCTGAATCATGATGGTTCGACAATGTAAAGCTAAGAATGCAACTTCTGTTTTGAGTATTCGAACACTTGGTATTGCTACTATCAGTTAATGTTTTGTCGTTTAACAAAATGTATTTTGTTGAAATACATGTTAACAATGTTAAATCGGCAAACTCAATCCAAGTATGCAACATTGGAGTTTACATACAAAGAAATACAATTGTATTTTTCCATTAACAAACTGTTCAACTCAGATCAACAAGGCTGGATTTTTGGCAACGAATAGCCTCCATAGTTTAAAACCTAAAAAATGTTTGAAGTCATTTCATTGTGATGTGGTTAACTTTATGCTTAATGCTTCAAACATAGACTCTTTAATTATATTCACACATCTTCTTTTGAATTTCAAGCATATTTAATGCGTCAAATACTTTTAAAAGGCCGGACATAGAACAGTAAAAATCAAAATGTTGCAAGCACGAAGAATATCTTTATTTATGAACTGATTACGATTTTAGCAGCTTTGAAATAAAAATTTTGAGAATTCTGTAATAACAAAAGTGAGCTGTAATCGTCGTTAGAAAATAAAAGCAATGGCTTTTAAATTGTTAAATTACAAATTATTTTTTCATAAATAAATGCAAAATCTTTTTCTAAATCTTCAGCCGGATTCTTCCGTTAATTTTGTTTTTAAATTAAAAGTTCTGAAGGAGTGTATAATATTTTTCAATTACACGACAGCTTTCAATAGTATTTTGTTAAAGTAAGATCAGTAAAGTGCATTTAATAAAAATTAAAACTATAACTTAAGGTGATTCATATCCCCACCCGCCACCTTAACTATGTGAAAGCCAAATTGAACTTAAACTTTATTTTATGATGTTTCATCTCTGTACAAATAATAACTTCAATTTATTTATCATCATGAGCTAACCATATTTTCGTTAAAAAAGGGAGATAAATAATTACAGAAAATTATTCTCTGAGGACAATTTGAATAAAAAAGGGACAAAATAATGTAAAACGTCCTTTCAGACTTATCAAGCTTAAACACACACAGTTGAACTTTGAAATTGCATTTATATTTCATGTTCATGTAAATATTCACGCTTTAAATTATTGCTTTAACCATTGCTTGATAATGTTAATGACATACGTTTCGAACAATTAAAATATGGAAGAAGGATCAACATGGAAGGGTGACATTCAACAAACGCATCTCACAGCACGGCCCGGCGACACAGGAACACCGGCAAACGCCTTGAAGGAAACCAAACAGGGACAGGACAGGGCACAAGAGCATAATATGGGCGGGGTGTTTATTTACATAAATTAGAATAAAAACATTAGCATTATCTGTAACATGACACTATATGTGTGTTATATGTATGTCTTACTTTGTACATGATCATAGGTGGGGAAATTCTGCAATCTGTCCATTAAAACATGCTCGCAGGGTAACATAGCAAAACCAGTGGATCTGCTTGTTTCAAACCTTTACCTTCTTTCATTTTTTTTCTCTGTTATTACCATTCGTCTGCATTAGATATAGATCTGTAAATAAAAATATTTCCACTAGATAACAGATGTAGTAGAATAGATTTAATTGTTCTTAAAATTAATTACTTTTTATTATTATCTTATGGATACTTAAGAACATATATCTTACTTTACTATAAACGTTACTTGTTCTCGAACTGCTTACACGTCAACACTTTCTTCAGAAGCTTGAATCACCTGTCCGTAGTGTTTTGACTGACCCGAAACTTGTCCAGGTTGCACAGGATTCTCTGTTACATGTATGGGTGTACAGTGTTTATACTTAGAAGGGACACGCGACCTGTAAAAATTCAAGATAAATGCTTAGATTGCAATATCTTACTCATCTTTCAAGTTGCATATTATTCAGACATTTGCGATATCATCTATGGAATTAGTTGTTATATGCTAATAATGAAAGATAAATGGTTCCTTTCAGATTTCAATAGTTTATGTTTATTCTTCTGAAAAATGAACATTTATTTTAAATTCTTAATATGTAACACTTAGCACAGTCGTACTTACAACGTGAATGTCTTTACATCATCTTAATACGCTTTATAATGATCTGCTTGTCTTAGGGGTTTCTAAAGGTTTTGGGCCGAGGAGCACGTAGAAAGATTTGTAGCCCCCGTCTGGATATCCGTCAGTTAAAAATCTTAACTTTCTTGTGCAAGTTTTTAAGATTCCAGAGAAAGCATATACAAAATTAATTTGCTTAAAAGGTAGTAACAGTCGAATTAAAACTCAGTATTTTTTATATGAATATAAAACAAATTCAACCCCAGATATTATGTCCTTAGTTAATGTTTTTACCATTCATTCAAGCAACAAACAGACTGTTTAATCTAAACCGTCTTACAATTATTCATTCTTACCTAAGATTTAACCAGTAGAAATAATTCAAAAGAGAAACAATTCTGCAATTACCATTTTATACGTTTGTACGAGTTATCTCCCAAAGATTGGATACAATGCATTGTCCAATTTTGCAATAGTGGT